TCAGCCCGAGGAAACTATTTAGAGTTCTTTGGGGTTGATCTTTCCATAGCGAATTTTCTTTTTAACTATTCACAATACGATACGTCTTTCAACTCTAAAAATGACGAATAATTACCTTAGGTTACATTACCCTTGATTTTTGTATTGCTTGTTTAAACAATCACAGAGTAAACCTCTTGTTTTGAATACTCACGACCAAAACAAACTCAAGCCGGAGCGAAAATTGCTTTGGACCGCTAATTTCTTTAGCGAGTCAAAGCAGACCGTTCCCCTTTGTTTACATTCAATGACTTTGTAAAGCGTTTACAAGACTCTTTGTATGTCAGTCTGCCGTGCTGTATTGTTTAAAGATAATTGTTCACGAGAGAATTCGACTAAACATTCTTCCATAACTCGTGAAGAAGCAAAGCGTAGCCAGTAATGTCGAGGAAAACAAGAGCTCTTATTTTAGTACTAATTTTGTAATTTTTACCTACATGATACAATGCTTAATCACCCGATAGCAATTATTATTGTTGCCACTCTTCAGTATTTCCAAGGTGAATAAATTTTTTACGGATCAATCTTATGGTTAAAAAAGATTTTCAAGCCAGCTAAAACGCATTAAAATGCCTTTTATAGCTCGCGGTTGTTTCAAAACAACAAAAGAAAATCGAAATTTTATTTAAAGGTTTCGAACTTTGTAAAAGTATAATACTCTGGTTTATGGCAAATTACAGAGCCTATATTCACACGAAGACTATTGCTTCATCACCTTCTAACCTCGTGTTGGCGGTTCTCGAAAGCAACAATTGTCCGAGCTGTTCAGCTGTCAATCAAAGACACCGACTTAGCATAAATTCTCTCTCTGATCTTACCGATATTCTATCGCACTCTATATTTAGAGGCTTGTGAGCATTTTTTTTAATGTATATAAAACTGTTTACAAATTTTGTTTGTTATGTTTATTATGTATTTCATTTTAAACTTTTAAATTATTTTTCGTCATTCATCGCAATATAACGGGTAAAGGGGCTAACTTAGTTTTTTTTTTTGTCTGGTTACACCAACATGTTTAGTGTAATTGTCGAATGAAGTTTTAGGAATTTGTCTTTGCAAACAAATTCGAAACAAAAGTGGAATGCGAGGCTTGAAACGTGGCTTTTGCAGTGTTTATTAGGCTGAAATAGAGATTACTCCAATCGTTACTTTTTTCAGAAGTAGTTAACCATGAGTTTGTCGACCAAATCGAGTCACGTCAATTTTTCTTCTCCCTTCTCGTTTTCTATCAACTGAGAGAAAAAAAGTCAATATTCTTCATCTTCTTGTTTTTACTCGATTTTTCAAAGGCTTTTATTACAAGATTTGAAATATTGGGTTTCATTAGAAATTCCCTTTGGCGGTTTTACCTAGCTTTTCACGTGGGTAGTTTCATCTGATTGTTGTCAGTGATAAGATTACATATCCAGTGGCATCTATTTTGCTTAATCATGTTTGAATTTGGTGATCTTAATTTTTTTTTTCGCAATACTGACCTTTTATTTTCCTTTTTAAGCATGTGTTCAAGTGGGCATCAAATTTCATGTAGTAGTTCTTATACTCAGTCTTTGAAATTAAAAAAATTTGGCTGTAACTGTAGATTGAAAAAAACATTTGCAATTTTTGTAGTGAAATGGGTTTATTTAAACAAAGAAAAATTACTAATAGGCATTCGATTGAAATTTTCATTTTCCAAAGAAATTATAGATTACTCAGGTTCGACTTAATTTTTCCTTTCTTCTTTTCCAACGGGTCACGATCACAGCTAGTAGTTTACTCGTTTTTTTTTTTTTTTTTGTTTACTGTTCTTTATCTTTGTTTTTAAGTCTGCTTGTACTTAATGGTAAAAGTATGCTTGAAAGCAAATATTTCAACAACGGTTGCAACGATAGCAATTTCTTCCGCATAGTAAAATCAGACTGCTTCATTCAAACATATTAGGTGGTAGACATTTTTTTTAGTAAGGGTAATTATTCCTCAACGCTGAGTGTGACAAAAGGTAAGAAATGATTCAAGAAAGAGTGCCTTGTAGTAATTAGACTAGAACTATTTGAAGAAAGATGTTTTTACTGTCTCACTGCTACCACTCAGAGTCTCGCCCACCTCCCCCCAAAATAGTCATTTTCCTGGTGGATATTTTGGTTTCCATTTACCCACGTGAGGCCCCGCGTTTTCTACCAAATAAGGAAAAATAGGAAGCCTCTTGATTTTATCGCAAATGAACCGGCTGCTGAAAGAATCACTTTTCAATCGACCACCTGACAACATGGAATTCTTCGGAAGCTATAATGAGATATTTAATTAAAACTCATGAAAACTATTAGAAGAGAGGAAAAAGTAAAAGGCGATAACAAAGACCACCTGATTCAGATATTGCTCTAACACATTTAATTGGATTTTATATTGGGAACATCAATAAAAAGTCACACGTTTATCATGAGTGTGGACAAAACCACTTCAATGAGCTTTGGTGGAATGTTTTCTAAGGCTCCTAATCTGTTAGGGTGTCAAGTGTATTATACTAACTTGAAAACTCCAAAGGCCCATTCACCTGTGCAACAACATGCGCTCATTATTCCTAGAAATTGGCCGATTGAAACATGTCTTCATTGCAATATTTCGATGCACAGCAATTCTTACCAAATAGTTTCCATTTTTACAAAGAAATTGCTCAATTCATTGTGATCATGTTTACTCCTTTAATGAAATAACAGGGATTCTATGAAAGCCCCGATTGGCTAAAACTCTATCGTTTATTGCACCAGCAAACCCATAGAAAATTGAAAAATACTGTGTTTTGTTTTAAATTCATTTTGTAAAAACATAGACCGCAATTCTATCGGTTTACCAATGTAAAGGAAAAGGTATGGCACGACGTAAAGGTGGATTTTTATGATAGCCAAGTAGGAAGCATAGGATACCTATTGCCGGGCCAAACTCTAATTATAATGAAAACATACTTATAAAACTAATCAATAAATATTAAAAAAAAGGGAAAAGAATGAGCATCGAACTCAAAACTTTTGAATCAAAATGTGTCTAGCCATAAGGTTGCTTTTGTTTCTTTCTCTTCTGCAGCTTCTGGAAGAGAATTGCACGATGGTTAAAGTTAGTTACGAATCTCACTTAGGCTGTTCCTTGTGGCCCGGTGGAGAAATTTATTGTCCTGCTTACTTAGGGAGATGTAATGGAATACAATAGCGACCAACTAGCTTTACTCGGGATTTTCGGATTAACATCTTCTTTTGTATGTGATGCTAACATCAAAAAAATGAACTCAGAGGTCAACGAAGCCCTACCAGCGGTGTCCTAATCAGTAGTCCATTTCTGAGTTCTAAACAGCCTCACTTTCAAAATGAGGCCACGTACAAAACTTTCTTAAAATGTGCTGATTCGAGTTATTTTTATTTTAAAAGCTTCGAGCTTGGCCTCGTTTTAAAACAGAGGTTGGAGAATCTCAAAAATGGCCCCTATTTAACGTCTGATAACAAACACAGATATTTGGTGCTTCAAAATGCGACTTATGTTTTCAAAAGAAACGACCTCAACCTTCGAACCTCGAATTTGGGATTCCTGTGCCCCATGATCAGGTATGAGGTATGGCCTCATACCTGAGAAGGAATAACTTTTCATCCATGTTGCTCATTACTCTTTTGCAGGTCTCTCCCGCGCGCACCGTTTATCTCGCAGGAGCCGCTCTGAAAACGCACTGTCAGCAGCACAGAATGGAAACCGCTCAAAACTAAGTGTAAGTTTCCGGTCCTTGTGATCTGTTGATGACTCTACTTAACCATAAGACTGTTTAACACAACATTTGCCCTTCATGCTACATTTTTTTTTATCGATGCGCCGTGATATATTTGAAACCCTCTTTGCTCCAAAATTCTGGTAAAATTTTGAAAGTTTTTTATCCCTCGTTGTTCCAAGGATGTAAAAGCAGATAACGGCAGCACTTTCACGCAAGTTGAGCTGAAGGATCACTTTAATTTTTCTTTTTTAACAAGGGGTGTTGAGAGGGAGCGAAAGTCGTTCAACTTAAATTTTACCGATAGGTTTAGAAGCATTCAATTTTTATTTTATGATCGCAATGTGTCAATAATACATGGTTAGGTAAGCGTTTGAGAGGTTTGGACTTGGCCCAATTATTTTTTGAGAGCTACTTAACCTTTAAATCTCATAAGCGAGCGAATATTGCAAACATTGATATCAATCCTCCGCCCAACAGCCCCGAGCAAATTGGTCCACCACGAGATGTTGTTGTTATAATATTATTCTGCCAAGTTCTTGCACTCACCAGAGTAACATTGATTTAATTTCATGGTTTCATCGAGGAGACCTGAGCTAATAATCACAATTTTATATTAAACTCATTCCAAAGATAAAAACCGAGTCCTGAAACAAATTACATTAGTGGACAGTTAACATACTTATAAGTGAGTTCATACGATTTGCAAAGTGAACCCCCCTGCGGGCACTTTGGCGTAAATGCGGCAATACCCTTTCAGGAGATAAAAATCTAAAAAACTGTATTGTTACGTTTTATTATTTACTTCTGAGCTTAGCAGCTCGCATTTTTCCTCGATGTTATCTTGTGTCAAGTTAGTAGCCAGTTATAGTATAGTTCTAGATAGTTATAGTTCCTTTTAAGGGATTGTAATGATGTTCATCGACCAATATAGCTCTGCTCTGATGAAACTAACACCATATTAAGTTTAGTGTGCTAGGAGATGGGAAATCCGTGCAAAGCTCTTCTGGAATTTTATCCAATTTTTAAGGACGCCATCCTTTCCCTGAATCTTTTTTGGATGCTAGGTTTCAATGACTTAACATACAATTCCTTCTACAGTATATGTTTTTTGTGGAACATTAAACGATTCGTATCCATTAATTAGAAGTAGATATTTTGCTTACAATTTCGTTGTAAATGTACTCAAAACGCCATATTGCTCGCGGTTAAGGCTTGGGTCCGACATTGTTCTGAACAATGTATAGTAACTGGCGCAGCGGGATAAACAAGGCACGCATCGAAATTTTCTCTTGAAAATGTAACCGTGGTATGTGGGCAACAGTCTTATAACTGCCAACTGATTTGGAGTCTGTATCCAGTGAACTTGAAACATTGCAAAGCGTACGGAATTTTTACAGAAATCCTACATGCCGTTGGTAAGTTAGTGTTATTCATAAGTGAAACTCGTGTCACGATGAATGACTTAAAGTTTGTTTGCCTTTTCTTTTTCTAGTCGCTAAATTACCCTTACGCGTGCCTTGTGACATAAGCCTTTATGTAATTTTTGAAGGTTTTCCTTGGCGGCAGGAACTTAAGTATTCAAGATTAAGTAAAGTGTGGGTTGTAGGAACAGTGCTTGTCGTGACTGAGGGAAATTTCTCTTCGTGATGCTCTCATCTTGAAATTTTTTTATTAACATAGCATCACGCATCTATGAGTAAAATATGCAAGCTTCGTATGGAATGATCATTTTTCCTTTCTGATATCTTGATCAAATCAAGGAGAAAAAAAATTATTGGAATGTTCAGAGCTCGACAACGGAAAATTGCAATGCGTGCTCTCTTTGTGGTAATTATTCAAATTTTGTGACAACTCAAGAAGTTAAAAACAGGCCAATATCCACTCCATACACTATTTATTGGTGTTGCGGTTATTTTTTGACAATAAATTTCACGCCGTGAAATTATGAATTCACATCTTTCAGCATTCCGTCTGTATCCAACAAAGAAACCATTGTGGCTGTATTTTTCAACAATAGAAGGCTGTGAGAGGCAAAGGACTTGAACACAAGACGTAGCTTTCGTTGCCCGATTGCGGGTGGAAAGACAAATACAACCTGTTCAAATCTAGCAAATCATAATTAAGAACACGTTATTGCAATTCTAAAATGGTTTTCGGAAGTCAATGAGCCTAAGGAAGAGGGCTGTTTAGCAACTAACTTTTTAGAAATTAAAGTCCTTACACTTCTTTATTATTTTGTTTATAATGACTGCTACTTTCTCTGAGGAATATCTATATCGTCAGAAAACTGAGTAAGTATTCTTTAAATCGAAATGTTTGATATTTTCCTTACATTTGCACAGAGGCGCCGTGAAGTAGCAATTATCAGTAGCTTGACCCATCTGAAAACTTTGATCAAATATTCATTTTAAGACTTTTACTTCTTTTAGGACTTTTTTTCCAAGAAAATTGCTGATGGAAAACGCAACCGCTCATTAACAAGAAGTTTGTTTTTACCCGGAACGAACAATTATGATAGGTAAGTTAAGGAGCTTGCAAATATTGGAGAGCAATATTTACATCATTAATAAAGTAAGAACAAAAACAGGCGGCTCAAGCTCCAGCTGTGAGGTGATCATCTTGCGCAATGACAGTCATGGTGAAATTATAAGAGTTTGTATGGGAATATTTACGACTGCTCTAAGGAATAAAAAAATACGTCAAATTCTCAATAAATACCTTACCTTACTTCTAGAGTGTATCGCTTGTTATCTGACCGCTTACTTTGATAAAAAGAATCCATTTTAGCGAGTTGTCCATTTCGAGGTTTTCCACGTACATGAGAGAAGCCTTAATTCCATATAGCGGTCGTAAATATTCGCATACAAACTCTTCTATTTCCGCCATGACAGTTATTGCGCAAGATGGTCATCTCACAGCTGGAGCTTGGGCCGCCTGTGGAAAAAATGGCTACCCAGTGTTTCGTTCGTATTGATTCGCGGTTAATCACCTTTCTCTTGCAAATCATTACAGTTTATAGAATTGTATTCACCAGAAATAGTTTTGAAAAAGTCTTGAGTAAATTTAGCAGAAAAACCAATTAGATATAAAGCAGGTGCCTAGGAGATGTGCCATAGTGATATAAATACGATTAGAACAAACGGAAAGAACTTATCTTTCAGTAAAATCACTCGTGCAATATAACTTCAAGAGAGTTTTATGTTCTCAGAGACATGTTTCTTTATAAGTTATAGATAAGTAGATTGATTCTCTTTTTTTTGTTTTTTGCCATCATAAAACGCATGAGAAAACTTTTTCGTCACGTTTCATTTCAAATTAGTAAATAGAATTTCCGTGGGCGGCTAGGAACTGTGTTAAGCGATGTAACTATTCACGAAGCCAAAACGAATTCCCCTCAACTTCAATCAGAGATTACCCTTTCTTAGCGATAAGATTTTCATCAACAGTTTGAGGGCAGATCCTGCCAGGACTGTTGTTTCAGTGGATTCAGGAATAAAGTCTCGAGCTCTTTATCAGGGGCGGAAGATCTTTGGCGGTCTTTGTTAAGGACTCAAGGATAACCAGATAAACAGGAAAGGGGACTTCTAAAAATAAAGTGGTCTGTGAAACTGCTTTATCACGGATGTATGAAATTTTTTCTTATGGGAATTTTTTGTCTCAATTGAAACTACCTTAGAAGCATTTTTTTTCCAAAACGGGCATCACAATCGTTTGATTCTTCCTTAGAAGCAATCGTTTTTACTCAACCTCAGTAGCATTCATTTGACTCTACTTTAGAAGTAATCATTTTACTCTACCTTAGAAGCATTTCTTTTTCCAAAACAGGCATTACAATCGTTTCGCGGCGATTTGTGTATAAGAATACAGTTTGCACAGAGCGACTTTTTTCAGGAAAAAAACCGAATTGGAAATACAGTCACCATGTTAATACGTTTGCACATAAATGTATATCTCAATTTATCGCTTTTACCCCTAAAAGTGATTAGCAAAAATATTCCTTCTCCTTACAACATCGCCCCTCACATACATTAAGGTCGCACTGTGAATCAAGGTTATGACCACAAACTTAATAAGCCCTTGGTTGCTAAACAACCTCTTCTTGAAAGCACCATAGGAAATGTATAGAGAACAGGATAAAGAATGTGCTTACTGATGTTAGGATGTAAAGGTTAATACAGCGAGATTTCGAAACAATAATGCAATCTTGAAGTTTTATCACGGAAACTTTGAATGTCATTAAACTAGAAAACTAGCTAGAGTACGCTGAAAAGAGCAGTATGCGTTTGAAACCTGGTGAATATTTCATCCAATTAGAGTAAAATTTTTGGCGGGTAGGAGAGAACTCAGAAAAGGACACCACGGTAACGCATTAGCAGAAACGGTTTCTAACACCAAAGACTCGCCGGCAAACTCTGCAGGCTTGGTTTATTTGTCTCATTATCTGTTATGCTGGTGAGATTTTTGGAGATTACAGAATAGGCACTCTCTCGCCTTTTTCTTTTTTTTTTTTTTTTTTTTTTTTTTTTTTTTTTCAATCCTATATTTTAATTTCTCTCCCGCCGGCGTTGATGAATGCCATAAGACGCAAATTACACGTGCAAATATCCCGTCACGAAAATATTGTGGCAAAATCCCTCAGAGCAGAAGGGTTGTAATCTCTGTTTTAATCAAGCAATTGAACCTAATAAGTCTCAGAATGTGAGAGAATGAGCTTTCAATGCACTACGAGTAATTATCTTTATTAAAAAACTGTTTGCATGGTGCCATTAATTGCTTCTTCACTCTCATTGGCAGTCGAGTAATTTAAGTAATTTTTTTCTGTATAATAAACTGAATTCAATGGTTATACAAAAGCCGTGAAATATTCCGACCAAACCCGCTAATCCCTTGTCTTTGTGTTCGCTTAGCATGCCATTCTTTTGAGTAAGTCATGTTTTGGAAATACAAGTCACCCAAAAAGTTCCTCTATGAGGTGCCCAGGTTGTAATGGGTCGATTTTTCGGTGATGGTTGTTATGCAGTAACAACAATAGGAAGCAAACTGTGGTTATTAATTTAACGACAGATGTCATGAATCGTTTATAAGTTGCCTTGAATATGCAGATGCCTTCCATTTACGTTTCGGAGGCAACTCCAAGCGTGAGGGCCATAGCACGGTAAGCTTCTCAATATTATCAACCAAAACATTGCCCAGTAAAGCCGCTCTCTTGGCTGACAGTTACAACAAGCACTGCAAACATATTGCAACATAAGCTGCCGTTGCTGCAAATTACATCTCCTCCGCGGAGTTGTTTGCAACGAGGTTACATCCATTACGATCTAAGCGCAAATTAGTTTTTTGAAACGAAATTGAATGTTGAGGCACATGACAGTGACAAAATACGTTGAAAAGCGATTTCGTGCAGTAGGTCTTGTATTTGATTAGTTTTTGGCCTCATTAATATCCGTTCTTGGCGAAGTTTACTCATTCCAAGGGCTTTACTGTTGTCCTTTCATATCCTGAGTACTTCTCTTTGATTTAGCCGGTGTGTGGAATAAAGGATTTGTTCCCCAATTAGTTTCTGGACTCTTGTAAGTTCAGATAGTGTGCCGAACGACACGATTTTGACATAATGAAATTTATTAATGTAAAAGTGAAAATCTTAGTGTTGCACTACGGGTTGGATACGAAAACCCTTTATTTAATTTGCTTGCCCCATCAAGATGTTTTGTCCACGGATATGAACTCATGCATAGAATTAAGCCGCTCTTTCCGCCAGCTTTAAAAGCCCTCAACAAGAAATAACTCCTAAAAATATTTCGGCTGCGTTATTTTCTGATAAAAGTTTTTCCAGCTTTTTTCCGCCTTCGCAGCTGGAAGAAAAACACAATTTTACTTTCCAGAAGAAGTGAATCAGAAAGAATAAGATCTCAAGTACTGAATTATGCTACAATATTGAGTCATTGTTCATTAATAGATCGTAAAGCAAACTTAGAGACACTGCTATGCATAAATTATCCTTCACTTGATGATGCTTTTGGTATTTTCAGATCTATTTTTGATTATTATGTTTTTCGGTTTCTTCTGCTAAAAGTCATAAATGCCACCTGTTTAAGACAACGCCGTAATTCCTCCCTCAATTAGCCGCTTCTGTCAAAATTCGATCTTAATTTCATTCACGTTTTTATTAACTTAATTATACGTTAGATTCAGTCATTGATTCTCCAATCACGAGGTATTTGCGGCAGTTGTATGAAGTAAGAGTGATGTGTGTTGACACGAAGCTCACTGTTTGGTTATTATGCCGTACGCGCGTTTGAACTCGTGAGTGTGATAGAGACATTTCTGGTGCCAGCGTGTTACGTTTTGAGGTAATTTCATAAAATCTTTACCTTTCTTTTCCAGCGGGTTTTCGAGTCTGAGCCCTCCGACGATTCCGAGATGGAGATCGCATGAAACATTGGAGAGCAAAATGAAAACAACATCACCAGTAAGTGAATCATTGTTTGAAATAGCGCATGTAAACTACAGAGACTAAATGGGATCGTCTATCATAGGCCATAGAGTATGATCTTTTTTAGTAACTGTTCAAGTTGGAGAGGCAGATTCTTTTTAGTTACATCGGTAAAAGCTGTTACAACGTTTCAACTCGCGTGAAGTCGAAAGAATCTTTCCAAATTTCAACTTTAGCTTGCCTTCCAGAGCCTTCAACTAAGGTTATGGATCTGGTTTAGTAACGCCACAATAGTTTGTGTGAAAAATTGGCGTTCGGCAACTATGGCAATGAAGACTTTTTCAGACCTTGGTGGTGACAGTCTTGTTAGCAAATTGTAAAAAAAAAATCGTAGAATGTGTTGGCGGTCAAATCATTGTAATTCGTCACGTGCTTAGCAATTTAGAAGATTGTTTTTGAGAAATCACAGCTCTAAAACTCGTCCAAGTTTAACTTGTGGGCCTTGTGTGTTTCTCCCTCATAAAAACGACTTAAATTTATCAAATTTAATTTCTTTTTTCTCATTTCATTTTAAATCAACGTATTAAAGGTCATGTTTGAATTACTAGTTTGGGTTACATTCGCCGCCAGTTTGAATTGTATACACATGTCAAACACAAACAATGAAACAGTATATACAACAAACAAGGATGCTGCTCTGTTCACCAATAATGTAAGAAATGTAAACCGTCCAAGATAGTATTGTTGCCACACAGTGAAAGCGCTGTTCTCATAGACACTGACACTAGCAATTTTCAACATTTTTGTAACTTTGAGTCAAGTAAGAAACGGATGGGAATCTCGGCCACGTTTTTATATTTTTTTCTTTTAGAACTAGATTTGCAAGATCTGCTTGCTAGACAATATTTGTGATAGCGCCATCAACTGTTTGAACAACGAACCCAGCCTTGAAAGAGGTCTTTGTGTTAGATAGTAATTGCCTCAAATTGTTTTCACCACAAGGAATGATGTGGGTCGCAATAATTTACAATAGACAAATTAGAGACAAAAACTTTATTCAAACAGCTTGTCTAGCATATGTCACCTTTGATTTTTCAAAAATCTCCAGGACACCTTGATATCTCACCTCAGTTCATAATTTGTATTTCGTGCCATTAATTGATTAGTAGACAAACAAAGTCATACAGTGTAACTCTTTTTGTTATATTGTTGTTTGCTTTGGCCGAATATTCGTTCATCTTGTGTTTTTTTCTAAAGTCAATCTGATGAAAACAGGTGTGATTGTGTCAGTAGAGAAGATGTTACTGTTATTGTTATTAGAATCATCCTTATTACTATTAACATTATTATTATCATTATCATTGTTAATATCATTAGTCAGAAAATCAACCGATGATTGCAATCACAGCTGTCAGAGAAAATGGTTTCTTAAATTAGATTTAGTTTATTGTGATGTAGTAACCTCGCTGAAAATCAATAAAGTGCGTACTATGCAGTGTTTTGATAAAGCTACCTTTTCGTAGTTTTGATAACAGAACACTTTTTAGGATCTCAATTTGCCTAGGTAGTCGTTTAGCTACGTGAATGAAAAATAAACTACAGTTAGTTTATGGGGAAAGTTTTTGACTTTTTTTACTAGCTTTTTCTCCAAATCAACTCTTTTTTTTAATTTCCCCTAACGTAGGATAGCGTGGACCTGTCAATCAGTGGTCACGTGACAGTCCGTCCCATCCATCCCAGCATTCTCTCTAGGCAGCACTGCTTCCAAGTAACCACGCCGCATGAAACCAAGTACTTCTCATGTCGAAGCTCACAAGAACTCGAAAAATGGGTTGTAAGGTAAAAATTTCATATCTTCTTGATGCAAACGCAGTTCAATTAATTTTTTTCCCTTGTAAAAAAAAACTTCAAAGACCTCTGAACTCTCAAGCGTGGAATTCTTTCTTTAGTTTCTTCACAACTACTTTCCTTGTCAGTATTTCCGTCCTGAGCGGTTTCTGGCACTCCTCGCCGACTAGATTTGGTTTCTTCTTTCTTGCTGCGGTGTCGTTTCATAATTTAGATGATAATTTTGATGACAAATAATTTTGGCAGCGGCAAGCGTGTTTTCATGTTTAAATAAAATGTGACTTTTCATTGGTTTGCCAGAGTAATCACCCAAGCAGGATGTTTAAAAAATACGACAGACAGGTTTGTAAATCATGAGCCTGGAAGGCGAGTGATTTGCTATCTCATCAGATCTTTTCACCGATAAAATGAACCGTCCACTACTTTGAAAAAACAACGTGTCAGTATCAATCGGTGCAATGAACGGTATGTTTTTTGGCCAGTCAGCGCTCGCCTGGTATCTCTGCCGTGTCAGTATTTATCAAGAGTAATAGATCTGAATGAAAAAAATAATATGATCAGCTTGAAAATTACTATATTCCGTTGACAGACTTTCATAGTAAGGAAGAACATTCAAAATTAATTTCCGCAGATATGAAGATAAAATTAGTTTAGAAAATTTCTAATCATCGCCTAAGCCAAGTTATCTTATGTACATCTTAACTGGGCTTTTCCTTTTCCTCTCGGTCTTGTGCTGTTTAAAAGAGCCAAAATTCAATACATAGAGGTGTATCGGTATATTTTGGCGAAAAAGGGCCTCGTAATTGTATCTCGCGCGTCAAGGATTTTGACATGTTGCGTTTCCGTTGAGTTTGAAAGAATAAAAATCTCCTTTCAACACTTGTTGTGGTAAATTGTACACCAAAAGATGAAGCCTAACTTTCACTCTAATTTTTCTATTTTATTTTGAGGATTGTATTTTTAGAAAAACTAGCGTTAGCTGCCTCGTACAATTTTCCCACTTCCGTTAAAACCTTTTGATTTCACTTGCATGGTCACATTTTAATTGCTTTTGGTTTTGACTGAAGTATCGATCGATATTTCGCTCACTTTAGTTTTTCTAGAATCATGAAGGGATTTTTCGAAAATCAGCATGAGTTGCATTGCCTTGCGTCATCATCTCGCAAAGCTGATACAACTCTTTCTCTTTCCTTCTCAAGTTTCATGTTGGGTAGAGTTTAATCTACTTTTCTTTGTACGATGTCAAAAGCATTAACAAACTACCGATGAAAACAAACAGTTTTGACATCATATTCAATACCAACTGATTAATCAGAAACGAAGGCATATAAAGTGGGACAGCTTAAGACATAAAGACGACTTTACTTATAACGAGACTTGACGTAAGCCTCACGACAGACCTGTCATTATAGCGGAAGTTAAACAAACTTTTGCTTTCGCCCAGTTAGTTCAGTATTTGATTGATTGATTGATGAGTTGACAGCGTTAATCTCAGAGCTTAAATAATGCGTGCAAAAGAAAACAAAAAGAACATCTCGACGTGGTCGCTGAGTGAATCAGGAAGCGTCGTTATACAAGTGTGTGACCGCCTTCAATTGAAGTACTCACGATTACTTAAAATGGTTCGTCACCAGGAAGAGTATGGAAGGTCAAAAATAATTTCACGATTTGGTTTCGCTCGATTTTTCTGTGTTTGGATTGCTTTAATCGCTGTTAAAGGTTAAGATCTCTTGTCTAAGCCTGTTACAGATGGAGTTAGCACGCCTAAGAAGTGATATCGATTCAGTCGATCTTGAAATACGGCAACACTAATCCTATTATAAACTGTTTCGTTTCAGAAAAAGCATCTAATGTTCGGTGAGAGAAAATTTGAAATCGTTTATATACGCGGGACTCAGTAATCAGAGAGAGAAAAACAATGAATGAGAAATTTTATTCATGCTCTGTGTTTTGTTTTAAATAGGTTATGAAACCAAGAGGTGAGGAAATTGTAACGCATATTTTATTTTCTTTTATCACAGCATCAAGAAATCAATCCAGCCAACGAGAGATGTACAGTACAGGACGGACATCGGTTTAACAGTGTGGATTGTGGAAGCCAAGGGTCTGACTGACAAACCTAAACGACGGTGAGGCGAACTGTGATACTTAATATATCATTTCGGTTAAAATTCGGAAAACTTCGCGTGTCGTATACAATGGCGTGAAGTGCAGTCACATGAAAGGATTGTATCAATTATATTTTAGATTTATCGTTAACTGGTGATTGCGCCAGAAATTTTGACGCTAAGGATGAAGTTTTCTAAAGCTGTGTAGTCTAATTCATGATCGAGGTTTTCCGGTACGAACGGAAATTTTGTGCGTCAGGACTGAAAAATGAAAAACTTCGCAAATGTGAAAGAACGACGTCACGTCTGTTCCAACTTGAAAATTCAGCTCTTTTCAAACTTTTGGCCCTTCATTCCAGCCTGTCATTTTCAATCCACTGTATTCTTTTACATCCCTAACCTCATCAGTCCTCTTTGGTTCGTTATTACCTTTCCGGTGTTTGTCTACTCTGTGAAACAATTATTTCATGATTTACCCTCGTTCAGCCCTTTAACCCTGAAGAGTGACAGGGATCTAATTGCTACTTACAGTATCACTGCTAAATCGAACATTAAGGTCGTGAGAGTAGAGAAAATGATTGCAGACTTAAGATGCTCATGATAGTCAAACAAGTTCTCTTTGTGAGTAAATGTATAACAAGCAGTATATAGAATATGAACACTGATATGAAGGGGTAAGGGGTAAAAAGGCAATTATCTGCGTTGTAGAAATGACTCAAAGTATGATGAAAAGCGAGAAAAAACGTTATTAACAAGCTATTCGTACAATAGCTCGACAACATTGTGTGACAGTGATGCAAAAAAATATTAAAATTTGTTGGAAAATTATTGTATCCGGTACAAATCATTCTCCACTTATTATTTTGTGAAAAAAAAGCCGTAAGAACTGAGTGAAACTATCCCACCTTTTCATTTCCAGGTTTTATTGTGAGCTGTTTTTCGACAAGGTTCTCTACGCCAAGACGTCTTCCAAGACGAAGTCCGATATTTTATTTTGGGGAGAGAATTTTGCTTTCAAGTGAGTTTAAGAAAAATTGAAGAAACCGTTTGCTTGAAATTAGCGTTGCAATTGTTTCGAGCGAGAAGATTCATTTCGGTGCAGAAACATATCAACCCATATTTCGATAGTTGCTGCATGGGTTTTTTTTATATTACGTTTAGAGCAGTTTTGAACTGAGTATCGAAAGTGATCGTGGATTCCACTGGCTTTGCTTTCTTTGCGCTGTGATTTGTCTAGAAAACTCGCGCCGCCACTTCAGCCAATCAAATGCAAAACCTAAACCAATTCCAACGTGGTCACTTGCGTTTTCCCGCGCTTCAAGCAGGTTGCCCGTTTTTACTTGGGTTCCCATTGGTTGATGGTGATGTAACCTTTGATCTGATTGGTAATTGTGATTACTTTGGTTTTGGTTTTTTGATGCTCATCTGAAAATTGCTCTTAAAGTTTTTCTCGGTGTAGATTAAATGTTTTTCTAGTTTGTTTGTTTCTTAAGGTCAGTTGTGATCCCGTTTGGTGACGTTATTTGACAATAATTAATAGTCGATATGTTTTCAGTGATTTATCAGAAGTGAAGACTGTTACAGTCCAAATCTACAAAGAAACGGATGGCAAAAACAAGAAGGATAAAAGAAAGCCTGTTGGTGAGAAGTTGACATTTTCTTTATTTTTGCTCAGGTACCAAATTGCAAAGAGTAGATGTGTCATTTAAGAATTCGCCATCTAAGACATCTTGGAATAGATATGCCACTTTAAAGCATCTAGAAAATGCACTCTTTGGTCCACTCCAAGTTTAGTTGTATCGATCGGAATGGTTTTAAGTGAAGATCTGATATTCTTTAGACAATGTTGCTATGTTACTTGCTTGCTTGTTGATCCTTTTATACTCTCTGTCTCAGGCTCCGTGGACGTGCCCGTCGACTCGTTGGAAATGGGTGTTGAAGTAGAGAAGTGGTATCCCGTTACCATGGAGAGCAACAAGACCAATGGAGGAGAAGCTTCCAGTATCAGACTTCGATTTAAATATCAGGTTTACTTTTTTTTATGATGAGATCTGTCTTGAAATTACTGTTTTGTTTTAATCATAGCCTAGCTACTGTGACTTATGCTATGTTGCCCTGCAACTGATGCACTCGCTCGTCTTGTTTGTCCCTATACAGAAAGTCTCCATCCTTCCAGTCAAGAGTTATGTTGAACTGTCAGAGGTATTACATTTTTTCTTTTTTTTTCGTCTCTTGATCCTAAGCAATGTTCTTACAAATTATTTGGTATAGGTGTCACGAGTATCTCTACCAATCACCAAGGCCTAGTAGACCGAAATCAGTCCACTCCTAGATTACTTACATTGGTAAATGCATGTAATGCAAAAGCAGTGTTAAATAGCCTAAAATCATTTTTTTTTTTGGTTTTTTTATTTTTGGTTTTTTTTCGCTTTAGCACTTGCATTGATTTAATTTTCTTGAATTCGTTTTCTGTTTTGTATCTCTCCAGTATTTAAATCGCAATTACATGACAATCTGTAAAGCTTTAGAGCCAGTGGTCAGCGTCAAGCAAAAGGTTTGTTGTCAGACCGACTCATCCTCATTCATTTCTCGGTTTATTCGTGTATCTGCTAAATGTTATTTTTTTATTTATTTGTTTTGTTACATTTTAATACAGGACGAGATTTCCAGAGTCCTTTTAAGAATACTACAAGCTTGTGGAAAAGCGACAGAGTTTCTCTCGACTATTGTTATGGACGAAGTCAATAACTTGGGTGAGTAAAACTTTTCTTTTTCTGTAGAATTGAGGTTTCCTTTGCTTATGATTATTTTTCCCTGTTTATAGAGGATGAAAACCTCGTATTTCGTGGTAATTCCTTCGCAACCAAAGCAATGGATTCTTACATGAAAATGATCGGCGAATCAGTAAGTAAATTTTTCAACTTTACGAATCTGTTCAGCAGTCTTGTTGGGGCCGACAGGCGGCCGAATAAACGAAATGCGTACTGATATTGATTAGGTGACGCGGCTTAGAAGGATATGGTTTTGCCTAAGTGTAGTTTCGTGTCGGGGACTGTAAATGCTATTTTTTACCGTAGGCGTAAATCAATTCGAGGCAACACAAATGTCACAAATGGTGGAAATGTCTGTATTTGAAATAAGATGATCTGGATTAAAGCGTTGTGTTCTACAACTACGCGCCAAAAAGCTCTCTGCGAATTGCTCCCAACAAGTCTATCGAAGTTATATTAAGAATTAAGTAATGATCGCGCCTGAAAGAGGATGAGTTCATTTCCAAGTTGTTCTTCGCGCTTCCTCTGAGGTCAAAGCATCTCTTGTTCTTTTAGTATCTGCAAGACACTCTCGGAGATTTTGTTCAGTCTGTGTATGAGTTTGAAGAGGACTGCGAGGTAAGAAAAAAAATGTGTTCAGAAAACACTTTTACAGAATCACAATTTTCCTTTTCATGTTCCACGTAAATGCAAAATTTGACATTTTTCCGTCTGTTTCTTTGGTGTTATCGTGATTGTCAGTGCAATGCCTTAGTCACCACTCTCTCGCCTATCATAGATGTTCATTGTCTTTCTTTTCCTTCAGGTCGACCCATCAAAGAAATCATCCGGGAACCTCGAATCCAATAAGGAGAATCTAAAGACTTTCGTAGAGAAAGCATGGAACTTGATCATGTGTTCTGCTTGTCTCTTTCCCAGGTGAGAGTATTATAAATTTTTCTCCCAACCAGGAAAATGGAGTATTAAGCGGGTAATCTAAAGATATCAAATAGTTGATTTTATTTAGTTTTACCCTTTAGTCGTACAATTTCTCCCTTTCTCTGGTTTAAAATCTTTACTCGTCTGTGTCGTTGTTCTTGTTAGCGATCTGCAAATAACCTTCCACGAATTCAGACGTTGGTGCGAAGGTAGAAGTGAAGATCTGAGTACAAAGTTAATCAGGTGAGTTAAAAACTCGTGAAATCAAAGTGAGGAGAAGTTAGGGAAGTACTGAAGTACATTTTTTCTTTTCTTTTTTGGCAGTGGATCAATCTTCTTGCGATTCTTGTGCCCTGCTATTTTATCACCCAGCTTATTCCATTTAGTTCAAGGTAAGTATCACTAAGAACTATTTAATTCGTGAAGCATTCGAATCAGTTCTTTCGGTGTTTACCAACGAAACAAGTCCTCCATTTGATGTCGCTCGTATGTTCGTTCGTTCGTTGCTTTGTTTGCTTTGAGTTAAAATCCTCCCTTCTTCCCTCTAATTAAATTTTCACCCAATCACCCGATATCGTTTTTTATATGCCTGTGTGCTCAGCTCTTTGTCAACAACACCAAGTCTACGGTAAACGATTGAAGTTTCCTAGATTAATCCTTGACTACTGATTTTTTTCGAAAATTCCTTTTCCAGAATATCCTAATGAGAGAACCTCAAGAGCTTTAACACTGATAGCCAAAGTAATCCAGAATTTGGCTAACTTCACCAGGTAAAACATTTTAACAATTTGCTAAGAGAGCACAGCAAATCTTACTATCTATCTGTGACGTCAAGCGTGATTTGAAACAAAAATTAGGCACGCGAGCGGTACATGAGTGTGCTTCTGGTGAGTAGCACTGAAAGCTTTTTCAGTTCAAAGTGAGAGATTATAAACTGCTTATACTGAATCTTTTGGTTCAAAGTTTGCTTTCCACTTTTCTCCAGGTTTGGTGGAAAGGAAGAGTACATGGACTTCATGAACGGATTTGTGGAAAAGGAATTCGTAAACATGAGAAAATTTCTAAATGAAATATCTGTAAGTAAGATTAATTTCGTTTTTTTAACATTCTTTTGCTAAACAGTGCCATTCCCAAGGCATTATAGCATGTTTAACTCATGAGTAGACTTGGTTTGGCGAGGAAAGTTTGTTTTAATTCCGGAAAGGACTTTAACTGGAAAACTTGGAAAGCTTACTTTCTGCGTTATGTAGAACACTTTTGAAAAATTGACACGATGTCGTTATGTCTAATAAACATGCGTAATCGTTGCACAAGCAAGTCTCGTAAAACGAAATATCTGATCTATGCCAAGCATTTAGTTTTTAAATAGCAAGCATTTAAGTTACGTTAACTCCGAGCATTTTCCAATCAACTATTGAAGGTTAGAGTCTATTACACCGACCTAATACGAACCGAATCGTAAATGCGCAAGACTTGTTAGTCTTGATTCTTTGAGTTCCGAAACGAAACTAACTTTTTTATCGTTGTCGGCAATTTTTTGGAATAGTCAAGAACGTACACCACAGAGAATCATTACGAAGGAATAATCGACATCGGACGAGAACTGGCTCTTATGTTCAACATGTTAAAAGATCAAACCAGCAAAATGAACCAGGTATGTCTCTGAAAGTTTAAGATCCTCACATTCGCAAACTAAAGAAAAGCTCACCACGAAACCAAAACAAACTGGCATTTTGTTCTAAGCACGTATTCTACTCTGACATCTTGTTTCCAAAAATAATACATACCGGGTAAATATTAATTCTAATTGATGAAAACAATTGCTTTTTCGTTTATTTAGGATGCCCTTGAGACGCTTCGCCCATTGCAGTTTATCCTCAAATCTCTGCAGGAGATTTATCATGATTCCGAAAGGAAATTCGCTGTCGGCAATGAAAGCCTGGTAGCTCACAGGAAGTGGGCATCATCGTCGGATCTTGTGAGTGATCAAGACAAAAACAACATCACTCTTACTCCCGTTTCACAAATAAGGATCATGAAATCACCGAACAAAAGGACTCAGAGTCCCCCAATTAGAACATCTTCGGAATCTAACCTTGTTTTCAATGGCGGCACGGCGGCGACGACCCCCGAACACTTAATGACTTCTCGTTACGACGAATCCATTTTATCGCCCATTTCCGATATCGATCCTCCAAGCTTATCACCGCGACTACGAGCGAACTACGATGATGATTTACAAAGCAGTTTTCGCCGACGATCGTATCGGAGAGCGATCGCATCCGACGAGGTAAGCAAAGCCATTCCTGGTGCAATCGAGCGAGAACGAAGCTCGTCCGAAAGACGTTCGCTGACGAGAAATTCGGATTCACATCGGCGATCTCAATCAGAGAGCCCTCATGTCATTTCAAGTTTGGACAGCGGGAGTCCTACTGAAGCACGAGTTATTTACAAAGAAGAATTATCAAACTCGCGATCGAGTCTCAAATCAAAAGAGAGCGCAAACCATAGACACTACAGAGCTGTTTACGATTCACGCCAAAGGGACGGCAAAGATGGATGCTTGAAACGAAGATCACTGCCTCGTGGCGTGCCTCCTGGAAGCTCGCCCATTATAACAGATCGATCTCGAACTTCGTCACCCGAGCCTCCACCCCCCCCGAGGCCGACCGCGCCCAAGCCACTCCTTTCTTCAGCGTCTGTGGACCCAAGCCACTCCTCTCCTCGTCTGAACAACCATGACTCATCGAGGTTTCTCAATCCCGCCGTTGGTCGTGTGGCTCGCAGCCCGTCGGGAACAAGTAGTAGTTCCAGTGGAAGTGAAGAGAGTTGGCACAGTGTTGGAAGTAGTGTCGAAGGAGGGGGAGGGGGAGGTGGATTAGCCAGGAGGAGGGCGAGGAAGATGCCACGGACACCTAGTCCAGAGGACAGAAGGAGGGGATCTGGGTAAGTGACAAGTCTTCAAGCTATTATCCCTTTTTTGTATCTTTATCTTAGGAACAATTTCCATAGATTTCTTTTTTTCTGCTTATTTTTACATTTACCACTATTTTTATCAACCGTTTAAGACTCTGGCTTCAGTGTGACTTACAATCCATGCTAAGGCCTTCAATGTCTGTCTATTAACTCTTTAACCCCTATGGGTGACTAGCATCTCACTTCTCCTTACAATATCATCCTTGAATCATGCATAAAGGTCATGAGATTAAAGAAAATTACCATCAGCCAAAGATGCTCTCGATTGTTGAACAAATTCTCCTTGTTAGCACCTTAGGAAATGTTTTGAGAACAGTAAGGAGAATATACAAGTTGATGCTAAGGTGTAAAGGGTTAACAGCGTAAGACTACTTAGTTTTTGGCTTGCTCTGTTTTCTACATGGAAATCTTCGATGTGAGAAAAAAAAGCAATCTGGGTCCAGGTTTTGGCTCAATACTACATATTAGTTCCATTCCCTAGCTTTTAATGTCAGTTCTTCCATACAATTTTCGTACTTTTTCTAACTTTTGGCACTGGTTTAATTCCTTCATAACGTATTCTTCCCATCTGCCAATATCTCACGTGCTATAGCGAGAGTGATATTTAAATCACTCTTGAGCCCTAAAGAGCTGATATCAAATCACTTATCTCGTTTTTGCTTTTTAAAAATATGAAAATAGAAGTTTAGAGCCAGAAATCTCGAGCAGAGATTTACGTTTCCTAGTCTCTAGATTGAACTTTTAAACAAGGTCTATTTTGTCTAGGGAAAATGTCTTAAGAACCTCGTTAAAGTTCCGACCCTGACATTTATTTCTTTGCCACACCCTTACTCATCGTCATTTCCCTCCTCCCCCTCCTCCCCCTCCCCTTCCGTTTAAGCTGCGTTTCATCTTCCTCATTATTATCACAAATAAAACGAAATCTAGACGGTCCAGTTAAATGATGGGATAAGGTTTTCTTTTAGTAGTCAAGACAGGATCACTTCAGACACCACCATGGACTCTAACGCACTTTCACAGACTTGCTCTCACAGTTGATATTAGCCGCTGAGAGCATCGATGGAAAGTCTCTCACCTCTAGCCATTTCCACCACTCGATCCGGTTACTAAAGTTTCCATGGCATGCAATTTATTTTTAGTTCTAGATTTCGTCATGAGTTTTTTATATTCATTAATGCTGAGTCAGATTGACATTTCTTAGAGATTACTTCTTTTGTGTGTCTAGAAATGTCTGGCCAAGGTAGCAAAATCAGGTACTCCTCGATAAGGGTCGTGCCAGGAGAGAAATATAAGCTCAAAGAGCTGTCTCTTCAGAAGCTTCAGAAAGAGACTGGCTTGAGAAATCGACAGGCCTTAGATTGTTTTTCTGACGTATCAGCCGTTTACGGTGAAAAATTGCTTGAAGTATGATCTTTCTTGGAGCTCAAAAACACAATCATGATACAAGTGGCTGCATTTGATAGAGGCTTGATAAGGCCATAAAGAAATCCCTCCTTCGTTCCATATGGCAACTTACTCTCTTTGAACATTTTTGTCATTTATTTTGTTTTAGTTTTAATAATTGACCCGAAATATGGTCTCAATGGGGTGAGAGCTTTTACGACTAAGGGATAAATTTTCCTTTTTTCACCGTTTTACGGCCAACGGTTAACCCCATTGAGACCCTCGAGAAACAACCGCTTCCTTTCAGTGCTGGATCTAATATGACTGATGTAAATTAATTGCCTCAATCGCTTCTAAGGACCATTTTATTTCACAGAGACTCTATTGTTGCCCCACCCTTAAGAATATTACTTTAGATTATATTTCACAATGGTCAAAGAATGAATAACAGTGCAAAATCACTCAGAAATACCCTTGAGGTTTCAATGAGTTGAACACTCTGATGCAAATACTATATCTGTTGCTGTTACACGGAACAAAGGCAAACAAAAGAAGACTCGTTCCAGAGCTTTCCAACAATAGTCCAGTCCAACACGAATGTAATTAAGGTTGGCTGGAGTTCGATCCTGAATTTTGACAAGCAAACGGAACTTTACTCATACTCATAGTGATTAACACTGTGCGTCCGTCAGTTCGATAAAAGCCTCAATTTCTATTTATTTTGTTTGACTCAACAGCAGCAATCCTTGGGAGAGAATGCCGCCCCGAGCTGAAGACGCATTTGACAATGGCTATGACGTTCCGCCACCAAAAACAGTTGCAGAGGTGAGTTTGTCCCTGTCATCTGTTTCTCAAGTTTTAGTCGAACTAAACAGTTTGATACCATGGCCAAACTTAGCGAATTTTTATGTTCCAAATCACTGTTTAGCTAACCCATGTTGTGACGTTTATTTGCAGGGTATTGCTTTGCGTCTCGTATTTATTCAATACAAATATTACAATCATGGTAATCTTAAAGAAACGCTGATCTGAAATAACTTCGCTCCTTTTGTGACAGCAAACCGCAACACGAATTCGTGTTCCGCGAGTAAATATAAAGTTTTTCGATGCAAAACAAAATATTCTTCCAAGAAAATTCTACCTAATTGGTCTCGCATCTCTAGTTCGGTAGTGAAAGAGTGATGGTCTTAGGAAACATCTATTTGCGTTGTGTTCGGAGATCATTCTTTCGGTATACTTAATAAAGCGCCTTTTTCAAACCTGTCAAAAGAGGCTCCCTGAATAATACATCATGTGAAGATCCCTTGCGGGCAGAACTTTTCCGCGATGTTAACCTGTATCAATGACGTTCCAAATCAGTATACTTATGTCGACTAAATTGCATTTTGATTTATCTAAGTAGAATAGGGTTTTGCTGAAACTCAGAGTCTATGTCTGTTTTTATTGCCTTGTGATACAATTTAATTGGACTTTTCACAATATAGGAATATATTATTATCCTAGTGGGTTGAGCAGGGTCATTTGGGAAAAGATTTCAAGTGCAAAAGTGCAGCCTTGTCATCGAGAAACAATTAGACAATACCGTGCACATGACATGTCCTCTTAACCTTACGGTTATGGTCGAATGACATGTAGATCACAATATAATGTTGAAGTTTCTAAATATAGCCAGCTCGAAAATCTTAACTAGAAATAAATAGATTGAAGATCTGTGTTAGGTAATAGAGAGCTAATTTTCCTAGCACAGGTAATGCAAAAGAAGTGTCACGGATCCAGGTCAGGTTTGCGTGCGAACCAACGGACAAACAAATTTATCAAGGGGACGAATTGTTTTACGAGAAATTACTTGTGAAAATTTTTGATTGATGCTTTTCTTGCAACTCTTCATTTCAGTACGAGAAAGAACTGCAAGATCTCCGAGAAGAGCTGTTGCAAACAAAGAGAACTCTGGCTTCTACCCACGAACAGCTCATTTTACAAGAATCCAGCACACACAAGCTGGTAGCATCCTTCAAGGAAAGACTAGCGGAGAGCGAAAGTAGTCTACAACAATTGAGACAAGAAAAAGACAAAGAAATGAAAGAATTACTCGACCGCTTGGTGAGCGTCGAGACAGAACTGCGCCAAGAACAGAGAGAAATGCAAGAGGTGATTCAAGCCAAGCAGGTCATAATTGAAGCTCAAGAAAGACGAATCAAATCAACTGACTCGAGCAATGCCAAGTTGATCGCCACTTTGAACCAGGTTGGTGGTTCACGAGCGAGCAACAAAGTGCTGAATTATCCGAGCAGTGACCTTTAGTCTGTTGAGGCCTGGTGACGGGTGGAAAAAACTCTAGACTTTTTGAGCCTACAATAGAATGTCCAACGGATACACAGGGTCATCTTTTCCAAGAAAGATGTGGTTTGGACGAGATGACAGTCTCGATAGGCATAAAAAGTGAAATTCACAGAAATACATACCAAAATACCCAAAAAACTCCCGACTACCTACCTCGTGTCCAGGCTCTCTGGGCCCTTGTTGTTCTTTGAAATACTGGTAACGACGCCGAAGTGTTATTGTACCTGCATGGTCAAATGCCGACGTCAAAAATCAGATCAGTTATCCAATCTGATTTCACTTTTCGACAACCTTTAAGATTAGTATACTGAGAGAGTATTCCAAAAATTTTTGATTGGAAATAGACCGATAAAAAAAAATTAAGTGTTTATACGGGAATAAGAGCTAAATATAAGTTGATGTATATTTCCTTTCACCATATTTCTATTTATTTATCAAGATATACCCTTCAATTACTTTTTTTGCTTAGTAGTTAAGAACGTGGTCCTGTACAAACGTCTCAATAATTTAGCCGCTAATCAAGTTCTTACAGAAAGCGATCATTTAGATCGTGTGCTTCATATTATTCAAGTCAAACTTGACAAGGAATACAAATCGTAAAGCTTTACATCTGTAAAATAAATGCAAAGATCAGAGAAAATTAATTTGAAAGGAGGGGGAGGGCTTTGTATTTCTCTCTCTCTCTCTGTAAAAATTGTAAAGTAATATTAGTTTAAAGTAATAAATAATTGGTTCATGGATAAATTTAATAAAGATATAAGAATAAACAATTTTGTTGAGGATGAAGGATGAGGATGAAGAGACTTCACTGAATTTCTCCAGTGTTGGGATTAGGATACTGTTACTATAGTAACTGGAATTGTTTCCAACTCAAATCTCATCCCAGAATTTGCTGATCATTGTACTTCAGCTGGCTATGAGGACCACTCCATACCCCACCAAGCAACTCTAGACCTTTACTGGTGATACCAATTGCAATACCCAAAGCAACTGAAGAAAAGTAACGTGTAGAACTGCATGCCAGAAAGAAACCCAACTGAGAATTACCATCTGATCTCATGTACTACCCCAGAAGGTCTATATGCCCCATAACTCTCCAGCAGTTTCACATTGTAAAGAAAAAAGTGAAGTAAAACACCTCCTTAAAAGGAGCAATGAAAATTTCAAGTACAACAGAGTAGCAGTCAGGGGATGTAGCAATAAAAGTTAGGTATTATTGGGCATCACCAACATAGCTTGGCTAGAATAATGGCTTATGGAGCCCTTGCAAATAAAATTCAGAGTTACAAAACAGAGGTTGGTTGTGAATAGAACAAACTTGAGTCAAGTTTGCTTACTAAAATTGTCATTCCAATGTGAAGAAAAAATAGTCCAACAAGTAGCTTATTCTCAAATTTATTATCAGAGAGCAGATATCAGTGTGCACATTCAGTTGCGCTTTCTGCGAGTACGATTCTTCTGCACACCAGTGCCGGTCCTTTGGCTGCGGAGGATGGCACATGCCCTCCTGACAGCTGCATCCTCCAGATCCTGTCGGTAATAGTTCTTGCCACACAGGTTCTTAATGGTCTTGATAGTGCGACGAGAGTCACGAGCCAAAGTCACCTTGGAAGTAACCTTAGAGGGCTTGTTGGCATCTGCAAGGAAACAAATACCACTAAACCTAACTCCTATAAGTAGAAAGAGTTACTTCCCAATGAAATTCACAGTACAAATTAAATGAAAATGTCAAAAGTTATGTCCAAGGTGAAGGTGCTCTGCTATACTTCACTTAGTCCACAGATAATGCACTCATGTTATTTTGCACTAATATTTACATTCAACATAACATTTAGAAAATGCAATGGGCAGGACTACTTGTCAAAATCTGGATAACTAGGAAACAAATTCAGCCAATTGCTCAAGTCATGCACATTTCTCAGCCACTATATGTATAAATGATAAAATACATACACTGAGATACCACAATAACTTACTGAACTGTAGGTGCATCAATTGGGGAGGACATTAGTGGCAACAATGGCTCATTTTATTCCACACATGTACAGTGAAATAGCCCATTAAAAAAATTAAACTATCAACACCCCTCGTTAGAACTTAAAGTATATCCACAATTTCACCACAGTGTTACTAAGAGTTTAAGATTATAATATTTCAGGTAGAAAATCATTTCCAATGGGGCTTAATGTTCACCAGTAATTTCATGCTTTTGGGCATTGCATGTATGTAAATGACTAAAGCCTGAACCTTAAAATATTAGAGTAACTAAATGTTTATGAAGGGAAGCATCACAAATAAGATGAAAAAATCACTTCAACTTACACTTCTTCTTCTTAATGGTGAGGACAACACCTTTGCCAGAGGGTTCAGGAGTAACTCCAATGGACTGAAATGTGACAAGAGCATATTCAGAGATGCACTTGCACGCAATTATTTCACTTAATAAATTCCACTAAAAACTCCTTCCTACTAAAAAAAATCATTACTTCCTCCTCTTTGCAATTCTGCTGCCCAAGTATGTGCCTGGCAATATCATTTAAGCTACATTGACAACTCAAGTACCTTTCACAAGTACATTATCGCCCATACGATGCAGGACAGAAATACCCCATTCACAGGTCACCATAGTGACACAGGACTTCGCTACTAGTATTTACCGTTTACACCCACATCAGTATGCATATTGTCTAGAGTGTCCTCTGTACAGTTCCTAAGGTGCTGACGAGGAGAATTTGTTTAACAATTAAGAGCCTCTCTAGTTGGTGATCATTCCCTTTACTTTCATGACCTTACCAAGTGATTCACAGGGTATTGTAGGGAGAAACAGGATAGTAGTCACCCTTAGGGGTCAAAGGGCCAATTGAGTGATTTCATAATGGGTAAGATAATAGTCTAAATCTTAAACAAAATCTTACCTTTTTGTTCACCAACCCACAATGTTTGAATGCATTCCTTCCAGTAAGGTTTAGTGGTTCCTAACAATAAATGATAAGGTAACTCATGATCATCATGCTCTGATAAAGTTAATTAACTCAAGATTTACTCTCACTAACTTTTTACCATGGCCCATTTACATTATCAACTATGTTGATAAAACCAAACTATCTTGTTATACCCCATTGACATAGTACCACAGTTTCTTTAGAAACTTACACCCATTAACACAAGTTTAACTACTTTTTTTAACCTGTGACAAAATAATTGCCTATGAAATATACCTTTGAAAATGTGGCTCCCTGATTTTTCAACAAGAAACAGGAGTGGTTCCTTACAATCATCCACTGCAAGTCGGCAGACATTTTTCCTGTCCAGACAAAACAAAACAATTACCTCTTAGTCAATTTGATGGAAAGAAGCATGGAATGTTCTACAATGTACACTATCAACTCATCAAACCTTCAAATAAACTTTCCCTACTTTGCATTGAGCTTAAATATAACAAACTTGTTTTTGTATATTCCTGTCATTATTCTGCATATTCAAGGAAGAACCTTCCTTCAAAAGTCCCACTAGCAGTATGTTCATTGGAGAATGGAGAAAATTGTCCATCTATCACACAGAATCCTACAGCTACATCTCTATAGGCCTAAACAATATCTAATTCAGACTTGGATATTACTTTTCTGATACCACACAAAATGCAGCTGCAACTAAAATCTCAGTAGCATCCCTGTGCTAAGGACCAAGCTAAGTGTCCCCTAAACAAAGGGATCACTCGAGTTCTTGCACAAAGGCAAGTCGTTGACAATTTCACTTTAAAAATCAGTTAATGGTTTGGTAACAGTATTAAATTAAGCATTTGGAAATTGGATAATTAGCAGTGTGCCAAATGAGCACTCAGTAATTTCTAATGTTATTGAAACACTCACCGTTCTAACCACAAGGGAGTTTAAGTCCTTAGTGGCTAGCTTCAGTGGTTTTCGATTTAAGAACACACAGATGAAACGACTTCTTCTAAGTTTTCAATTTGATATAAATTCATTCTTTCAGCTGAAGGACTTCGATACAAGCCTTCATTCAAAAGTTTAAGTTTAAGTAAGTTCATAAGTTTCCTAAGTATGAGAAAGAGAGAAATTTTAGACACAAAAACTACCAAATAAAGGCAGTATCTAGGCGAAATAAAACTGAGAGTAAAATTGTCAACCAATAGTACACGTGAAGTCGAAAGAGAAAAAGGACTTTGTCATAAGGAACAGAAGAATAACGTCTGGAAATACGCTAGGACTTAAATTGGAGGCAATTGGGTATTTCTTGATCGATTTTCGTAGACCAAAGAAGAGAAGAAAACATACGAAAACGCCAAATTATCGACAAGCAATTCGGCTTACCGCTTAGAAATGGCGACCACGAGCAAGAGAAAGATAATAGCGCATGTACCAAACAATGCAGGGGGTCCATCACCGTCCCAGGTTTCCACGTTTTTCCTAATTCCAACATGGCGGACTCAGCTGATCGATCATAAGCAAATTTCTGTCGATAAACCGAGAGTTCCGGAATGGGAAGAACCGTCATCATCGAAGAGAGTGTCGAAAATTATATATCCTCTCTTTATGGAATCCATAAATGGCAAATCGGCCTAATAATCGGACAGGTAAAATTAAAATGTGTGCCCCTCACTTGTGCTAAAATATACTCTTTTCGGTACGGTGTAAGTTTTATTTAAGCGTCCGTTCCTTTTCCAGCTTTCTCCTCAAAGAGACTATGTCCTTCATTTGGCTAGGACACCAGAGCAGACAGGAGATTCAGGTATACAATTAATATCTGTGATCGCCAATTTCTCTTGTATTGGGCTTGAAAACTCACAAAATATAATCTTTAGCTTTATTCATTTTACACTACAACGATACTAAAGAAGATTACAATGTGTATTGAAGGAACATCCTGAAGAGGAACTGTAAACTGGCGAAGACTTCTTATTGTCTTTCTTCTCCATTTTCCTTTTACATTACTTTGATATAAAAAACTACGAATTACAGACGGAGATTGTAAGCCAGCCGCCATAGATGACATTGAAAACAACTGGATTGTAGAGCACGCTCATCAGGTAAATTTTAAAATAATTTTTGTTACTTATTGATTAAATTTTCTCAACTTTCTTTACATTCCATATTCCTCTTTCATTTTCCATTCCTCCCCTTCCCCCCACCCTCCCTCCCACCCTACAGTTCTGAAATAAAATGCCAGAGATAATCCCTCAAAAGTTTTTAAAAATAGACAACATGTTTGGTTTATTTTGATAGGTATCAAGAATGTTGACTGGAGGCCTAGATGTGATTGGAGTTTTTGCTTTTGGTCCTATGGACATGCTTACCAAATCTCAGGTAAAGCTTCGTCAACTTGTGTTCTCCATTCAGAAGATTGTGCAACACAAGGCAGCATCATATTTTGATAACCTCATTCACAGCAGAATCTTGCTCCAAATTTGTTCAGGAACCAAAAAGTATCCTTTATTGCATAGTAAATAAAAATCAATTACTCTGATTAATTTGTATGGAGATCTTAATTCACTATTTCCCACCTGCACTTTAAAATTTTTCATCTACTAAATCTAATTGTGTAATATTTCTTTTTGATTTTCATTTTTTCTGCCATCTCTTTCGTGAGAAACATTGTTCCACCCGATAGTTTGTTCATAGGATATTGACTCTGATTCTATTATATGTTCCTTGGAAAAGAACTTTACTTCCATAAGGAGTCTTAAAAGGGGTCCTAGTGAATGTTTACAGAAATCTGATGTAAATGCTGAGATGACTTGTTCACTTGAGGATAACAATATGCCTGGCCCCGAGTATCTTTCATGTGCCCTCTGTTTTGCTCTTTTTTTCTAACCTTGAGCCTAATGCAGGCTATATTCTAGGTCCCTAAAAAAACTCTGAATAGGCTCTGGTATCTGTAATAGTTGGTTTCTTATGGAGACCTACTTTTTTTGCTGTCCATCTCATTTGGTATATATAAGTCCTTAAGTCCTTTCCTTGACACATGTGCTTTTAGAATCACTTGTAGGACAATTGATGTTTCTGATCAAAGGGTAAGAGACAACAATTCTTATCAATTCCAATATGATTTCTTTAATCTTTACATCTCACTGTTCCAAATTAGCATGGTCTTTGTAGTTGTTTCTGTCTTCTTAGAGATATCAGCTGTCTCATTTATCATGTTGCAGGCCACACCAAATCCAGCTGAAGTGAAATATCAGTCATTCTCTTCAAAGTGGAGTAAACTAGAAGCATCCTTGTCGTTAACTGATGGATGCTTTGATGTTCCAAGGAAACTTGAGACTTCAGGTCTAAACAAGCAAATAATGGTATGAAATCAATGGGCTAGGCAGACCCATATGACAGCCCTTTCTGTTAAAGCGTTGAAACAACTGAGTCTAGAATTAATGGTAGAAGCAACAAGCATTAATTCCAACTCACTCACCTGGCTTCCATCCAATCACCTTCTCCCCATTCAGGATTTTGATTGATGCAGTAAATCATAAGGAAGGGAAGGGAAATAGATATGGCTACCTTTAAAGGCACTCAGTTTTTGATTTGTTCTTTTCCAATCTAAACTTTTCCTGTGATTTTGTCTTTAGAGCAGCATTCACAAGACATTGCAGAGTATATCAAGTGCCTTGTGCACAGTGAATGGAGAGCTTTATGCTGATGATCAGACTCTTGTATCAAGTGAAAAGTCTGGAAGATCCAGTCAAGCTAGTTCTACACAGACATTTAAAATTGACCTATTTACAGATGAGGTACCAATTAGTGTTGAGCTAGCACAGTTATATCAGTTCTAAGCATGAGATTAAATAAGTATGTACATGTTGTAGTTCAAAATTTATGAGGATGCAGTTTTATGGAATGCAATTATTATTCAGCTTTGTCCCATTTTAATGGCAAAAAAATCTAGGTAGAAATGCTTTTTTAGAATGCAATACTACATGTATGTTGGCCTGCGTTTAGATTATCTTCCATGGCTCTTTCTCTTGTGACTCCTGGTCTGCTATTTCCAGGTCAAAGTGGAAAGCGAAGTGTTAGTTTTTGTCAGAAAGGGTTGAGGTAGGTGGGTTGGAGAACTCGGTGAAAACCAATTGGGCAAAGATAAGTTATCAACCAAAAATTCAATCCACCTTTACCATACATCAGGTCAGGAAATTGCATTTTGAGCACAAAGGTGTGAAGTACCAGTAAGGGTTCTCACCACTGGGCCAAAGGCCGTCACCCAAATCAACTGCGAGTTGTTGCTTTTTTTTTTTACCTCTCTTTTCAGTCCTGCAACAATATGGAACCTGTGGAGGTAGACACAGCAGCCTCTATAAGGATCAGTGGCTCAATGTGTTGTCAAGCTTATGTGCATCAGAAAGCCACAGCAGGGGAGGCAGTACAGGTACATTGGTAGAGTATAGGGGTAGGGCTAGACCTATGGGATTTATTTCAGTCTACTTGCTGTACAGCAAAATTCTTGCAATGACAGGTTTGCATACTACATCTCAATATGAATTATCTGAAATCTATTTGTCTTAAAATATTTTGTTGGCTTATTTAGGCTGTAGGCAAAGAAAAATTTCTCTGCTTTTTGAACCATCTTGTATGTTGACATATATTTTACACGGGCTATGAGTTAACGTTTTCCATCTCAATCTAAATCTTAAAATGGCATATGTCATTGAAGTATCTGAGTAAGAGTCCAGCTGTGTTGTGGGTGTCATTAGAATGGATTTATTGATTAATTTATCAATTGTTAATGATAATAATTTTTGTTACTTAGATAACAATAATTGATTTCTCTTAGGTCTTTAGGCTTTTGGGAGCTTTATCATCCTCGTAGAGCATATTCGGTTTTGAAGAAATATCTTTGTAGCAATTGAATTTGGTTTATTTATGTTCCTTTTTCTTTGTTTGTGTGCATGTTCTAGGCGTTAAAGTATGATGCCATTCGTTGTTTCCTGTCACGTTGTGAAGTTTTATGCGAATATGTTATGGAAAACCAAGAGGAGAAACCAAACAGAGGTACATGTAATTTAGGGTGCTGTACCTTCGGTAAAGCGATAAAAGTTCGTTTTTCCCTTAAATACACCATACCTTACTTTTAATCTCACCGACCAAACCAAAGCTGAATTTTGGAAATTACTCTTTTCAAAAATAACAGAAGTTAAAAATAGTGTCATTTACGAGCATGGGAAAAAGAAAAAATCTGATTACCGACAAGGAATTCAACCCCGGATTTTGCGCTTCCGAGCTCCACCACAGAGATACAAAGGACTCCGTGGTGAGCCGTACAGGTTTAAGTCAATGGTAGGCTCGTATTTGACACTTGTCCTACCTATTGCTAGGATGTACACAGTCGAAAACGTCACGTACGTAAATTAATAAAAAGAAGGAGTATAATTTTTTTACCATTTATCATCTTTCATATTCTATGGCAGAAATTTCACTCTTCTGTTTGGTAGGATGACTTAGGCTTCCGTTTTTTATTGTTATAGAATTTTTTAATTTGTAGAAATTTCATGTAAGATGTAACAATGCGATGTGTGCTGTTTATTGAGTGGCTAAATTCTCCATTTTTTCCTTCATTTTCTCTCTCAGAAACATTCTTTTCAACGTGGACATCTCCTCAAAGAGTGTTTGTCCCTCTTGGCTCAGGACCCGTGAAAGTCTGTGATTATGTGTTTAAGGACGAAACATTGAAGGTAATTGCTTTTCGAACCTATTAATTGATGAACTTTTTGCTTGCTAATATACAAATGGCCCTAACTTGGACAATACTGACTTCAAGATTTCCGAGTCTAACTGGGCCACGGTCTGGAAGAGATCAGACCTTTATTCTCTACTCAGGGAATGGCAAAATTGTTGAAGATAAAAGGAAAACCATCAGCGTTGTTTTTCTTCATTTTTTCCCCAACCTTTGCTCTTATGCCAAGAGTTAACGCTACTGTTTTCGGGCCTCGCCAACCCCTATTAGCGTTAATGATAAATATTCTTTGAAATCACATGTCGAATTACTTTGTTTTTAAACAGGAATCCAAAGAGAGAATAGCAGAGCTCTTAGGTATTGAACTCAAAGAAGAAGATTTTGAATGTATAGAAGATTTTCCAGGTAAATTACATATACTACCTGTAAGAAACAAAAGAGCGAAGAGAGCATTCGTATCATACGTATCATACGAATGCTCTCTTTGCTCTTTTGTTTCTTCTACACCTTCTTCTTTCTTCACCTGTAAAGCTCACCACAGAGTCCTTTGTATCTCTGTGGTGGAGCTTGGAAGCGCAAAATCCGGGATTGAATTCCTTGTCGGAGATCAGACTTTTTCTTTTTCCCATGCTCGTGGTTAAACGAATGACACTATTTTTAACTTCTGCAATTTTTGAAGAGTAATTTCCAAATTTGATCTATGGTTTGGTCGGTGAGATTAAGAGTGAGGTATGGAGACTGCAACTCGAAATTTTCTATGAAAAAAAAAAAAAAAAAAAGATTGCAGATGGGAGTGATGGAGAAGAATCACATGTTGGTGGTTTTCATGCTCTCGTGAGAATTTCCTTGCTAGTTTTATTGTGAACTTAACAGATGTCCAGACAGTGAGAAGTTTGGTTGAAGAAATGCAAACTGAGAGCAACGAAGAAATTACAGAAAGCGAGGAAGTTCAACAAGGACCCGGAAAACGCGTAATAGGTAAGAGACAAGACCAAATACGTTTAGTCGACAACTTCATGCCTCACAGATTTCATATAGGAGACGGTACGCAGTAAACGATCTCTTGGTATTCTTTGAGCCTAGAAAAGTTTATCTTGTTCCCTCGGACAGGTTGCCCTTCGTTTATTAAAGCAATGAAGTTTAGCACTTTCTTTTTGTACACTCGGAAACGTCGAATGTTAGCACGTTTCTGTTATTCAGTGACCCTAAGAGTACGAAATACATTATTTCAGCTTAAGAATCAGTTAGATGCACGTTGTACGCGTACAAATTAAAACAATAACAACAAACCAACCCTTTTTTCGACAGGTGCAGTGGTCGGAATTGTTGTTGCAGTCGTGGCTGCTGGAGTAACTTTCCTTTTGGGTGAACAAACAGGATGAAATACAACCCAAAATAATGTTCACTAATTGTATTTCGAATTACATTAAATTATTATTAAGCTCTTCACTCTGTAAGTTGGTTTTTTTCTGTTGGTTTCAGTTCAATTCAACTTACCTTCCCTCCTGAACGTGCCACGGTACTTTTTATATAACCATAGAGACACCTTTCCTGTTTTCATAGTTATGAAGCGTGTATAAACAGTGGGAAAATGGCTCACGAAATCACTGCCCCAGCTTTAGCACGACCAGATCTTCTCTCGTTCGCAAACCGCTCCTTTCTTTCTTCAAGGCCGAATGAGAAAAGGAAGCACAGAGAACTTGATACGAGGCCTCTAATAGACTCTTCTTTAGGCAGGGTAATTAAGTATTATCAACTGAGTTGATTACGTTAATTGGCCACCGTGAAGAGTTTCGAAGCTAATGTTCCGAGCGTTAGCCCTTCGTCAGGGCGGTGGCCAATGAAAGTGGCCAATGAACTTTATCAACTCATTTGATAATACTAAATACTCTCCCACCTACGCAGCACTAGTTTCTTTAGAAACTTACCCCTTTAGGCAGGCCTTGATCACAATGTATCTCTCATTGGTATATATGTATGTCTTTACAGTTTAAAGTTACCTTCGCAGGCAAGGGTATAGAGAATCTCAATTTTCTTTTACAGTAACAACCTCTCAATCGCAAGAATTCTCCAAAGACGAGTCAATCTAAATTCTGCCTTCATTTCTACAAGCTGGTTTCGAAAGGGTCGCTTGGATCGTTGCAGCACCTCTCGGGATTGACCAGCGCACACTGCCGCGACTTTCCGTTAAGACAACTAGCGCTGTCCACGTCCAAGTATAAGTGGATAGAGTATCACGCAGATTATTGCTTACTTGTAGGAGGGGCAAGTGCTAATATCGAATTAGAACTTAAGGGTGTAACGCGATGCTACAAATTTCTTCTTCAAGCCCAGAACCAACCCCCCCCCCCCCCCCCCCCGAAAAAAGACGGTTACCCTCCTTTCAAAATCATCTTTCATCTCTTTCAAACAGCAGCCTGCTAGTTACCCCCCTGTAACTAGAAAAAAAACACAAACAACACCATTTCTCAAAGTTATTTTTTTAACCAATATTTTGTAATTATAGTCATTTACAACGCTAACTTTAACGACTGCAGCTAAACTCAGAATCGCTCCTGATTTCTTTAAAATTTCAATTTTGTGCTTGCAACACCAATCAAACTACATGTAAAGTATTTTTGTCCCTTAAAAAAGTTAACGCACATAAAATATAAGGCAAATTGTTAAAATTATAAAGAAACCATTCTTATATAGTATGTATGAATAAATAAAATGGTATATAAAAACGAATGAATATTTGGTATAAAAAAACTCTGATAAATAAAGACGAATATAAAACAAGGTTATATACTCTACAAAATCAGTTCGAAAATACAAAAATAATTTTTCAATTACATTCTAACTTCGTGCATCATTGCCTAATTTGTTGCAATAACAGTGTAAAGTATACGGTGCGAGATAGTTTTATGGATTTCCAGCGCGAAAGTCACTGTTCGTGGTATTGTTCATTATGCATTGAGGACTTGTGTTAAAGAATAGTTCACGTGACGGAAGTATTCAATTTAAACTTATTAAAAATAATCTGATCTTATTAATGGTGATGGAGTAAACAGCGAGCATTAGGAATGGCTTTCCATGAATTTTCGGCGATATATGCACCTCGTCTCTATAGTTTAAAAAGTAGGTTTTCTTTTCGTTTGACCAAATGACCAAGAATATCCTAGAGTTGTTTCCGAACCTAACCGCGAGTAAAGATCACAACTGACTTGGACCGGGAAGCAAGAGTGAGTGAACTACTTCAATAGTTGGGAATGTGTATCCACGTGCTATCTTTTGCCGGATCGGATTAAGTCGGAAGCGATGTTACTCAGCATTCTCTTGGAGATATTCTGCATTCTTCTTGCGGCTTTGTTGGCCACGTCCAGCGATTGGTGGAGTCGATAACTCTCCAACTGAAAACAAGATGGCGGTAATTCATTAAAAAAAAAATAAAAATTCAGGCTGTTGTCAGTACAAGAGGGTTGAAAAACACAGCTACTGGGGAAAAAAATCCTTCTAAAGACGAAAGAGAAGAAGTACCACGCGCTTCTAAAAAATAATATGATACATCAATCACAAATGCTAGTATAATATCGTTAAAGTATGTGAATCTTCCCAGAAACGTCGTCGAAAAATGAAGCTCATTCAGATTCTCGGAAATTGTATCGAGACATAAAGATCACTATCAAACGGCAGTGTAAAAGCATGGCTTTGTAATTGATTAGGATTATAAGTAATGAAACGTTAGGAATATCCTATAAGAGTACGTTCAAGATTGAATCTGAAACGCTTAATGAGTTAAATGTTTATTGTAATTCACCCTAGGATACTCAGAAGTGTCGTGAAACATACTTCATCTCCTTGGTGATTGCCCCAACCGCTGTGACTTGGACTTGGGTTACTTCTAAGTCGAACGTGCCTGCTAAAATAAGAAAAAAAAATGGTTTTTTTTTTAAATTTTCCCCTTTAGTTTTACTTTATCACAAAAAAAACTTTGTGACTAGAAGAGGTTTTACCTTCGAGGTGCAGGGTATTCTTCGTCACTTTCAGAGTCATCGCTATCGGATACCACATAATCCCGCCGGTTCCTAGACCTCCCCCGGGGAAGATGATGGATATGATGTACTGTTGGGGTTTCGTTCACCGCCCCTGGCTGTGCCACCGGCACGCCGGGGACAACTCCCGCGGGTATAACGGACGATGAAGTCGCAGCTCCCGGATAGGTGTGAGTATGATGATGCATAGGTGATGAAACAACACTACAAGAAAAAACGACAGGAAATTTTCATTGTGGAAAACTGAAATATCACTGAAATCGAGAACTGTCTATAATCTGCGCATCTTTACTATCTATATGGTGACTGACGAGATAGCTAGCGATTTCAATTTTGCGTTTGTTTCTTACTTGTGGTAGTAGGGTGAGTACGGTGTGGAAGTAGCCGCTGGGGTAGTAGGGTGGTGGACATAAGTGTTCGTCAATCCGGGATTATAAGGAGTCTGCGTCTCGGTATGGCGACGAGGCCTCGAGGTTGGTGTCCGTGTGCTAACAATCGGCGTTTCCTGTTCTGGTCCAGAATACCCTGGATAGAAATAATTTCCGTGACTATGAGTGCCAGAACTTCCGCAAAACGGACACAAAAATTGCATCATAGTGACCGCGGGTGCTTTTGCAGGAGCTGGCGAAGGAGAGCGAGAACGAGAAGGGCGCTGGTGATCTCTTCGCTTTAGGTCTCCTACGTCACTTGCTAGTTCTTCGATCCGTCTTCTAAGATCGTCTTGAGGTGTCGTGCTTGTGGTCGCATTTTCTTTGCTCCGAGACATTTCGTTCGCCAGATCATCGTATTTTTTCTGTAGGTTGTCGTATAGGTTCGCCATCTGTTGCTCGGCACCTCTTCGGGCCATCTCTCGTTCCAGATCGTCGTGCCTCCGTCGGAGGTCGTCGTACATCTGAGCTTGCAATCCGCGAGCGTTCGAGTCTTGCTGCAGTTGCGAACGCAAGCTCTGAAGCTCCTCTCTCAGTTTATCAATAGGATCTCTGTCAGTAAAAAAAAAAAATTGAAATATCTCTTGATACCTAAATAATAAATAAACTAAATAGGCGAATTGATTCTTGAACTCATTCCCGGCAGGCCAAACAAAAAAATCATCACAGAACGGAAAGTTAAAGACTTTGAAGTACTCTGACTCAAGGTAAAGACATATCAAACAAATAATTCCCCTTCTATAAATTACAGAGGAGTACAAGGTCCGAGACACATACATGCTTTAACTAACATTATAACATAGCTTGTAAATTTGTGTAATCAAATTCAATTGCGCGAGCGTGCTTCATATTCCTATTGTGTACGCTCATGACGTCAGCAAACAAATCCCTCGAGAAAAAAAAATTTTCCATCGGGTTGAAAATGTTATAAAACAATTGGTTCATACGTCAGCTGTGCGTTCATCGAGATATGAAGCACTTGGGAAGTTTGGAGAGCACTCAAGAAGCTAGAGTTGCTCGAGGCGCAGCCGAGAGCAACTCTTACGCATCTTTCGTGCTCTCCAAACTTCCAGCGCGCTTCATATCTCTATGAACACACGCTGACGTATGTTTATATTTATATATAAATATTCCGGCAACAGCCAAGATACACGAATCAAACAAATTGATTTGTTAGGTCTTTCACGTCTCAAAATAACACAAACAAATTGATTAATTCCTTTCACCGTTCTTAGTGCAAAAGGCTGCGGGTATCTGTAATTACAAATAATTAACACAACTGAACAAGTTCTTGTAACTGATGATACAGATTTCCGCCCAACATTAAGAACAGCAATCATATCGTTTGCACAGCCGTAATACTTACCTGCGATATCTTCGTTCATTGTCACTGTATCCACTGCTACTATCGTCACCTCTTCTTGACCGCCGTCCTGACCGCACGGACTCACGGTCGCCCGGGTAACTGCGCACGCTCTGTTTATCCATTGGGCGGGACTGATCTAACCGCGGACCTATGAGAACGATGGGAAAAAAAGATTATAGAACGTTATAAAATATAGTGTGAGGCTTCAGGCATACTGCTCTCGCTATAACTATTTTAATTTTTTTCTTTTTATCTAACTTGAGCAGCAAGACAGAAAGGCGCCTCCAGTTCGATCAAAAATATATACACTAATATATTTAAGACTCGGAAAGCCGCTCCGTGAACAAATTTACATTGAACGAGACAAGACTGCTACGGAATCGTGAAAAAAGAAAAAACTCAGAATGACCTCTGTAAAACAGCTATCGGTATACTTAAATAATGGCTCGTAGCGGTAAAATAATAAGACCACTACGCGGAATTTCGGTATATCACATATTTAGAGAGGAAAAATAACTCAATTTGAATCCTTAGTTTCTCTCCTCTGTAGTTGGGGAGATCTAGAAATCGGTGATTCCATTCCAGTGCAAAATAGATCACAACTAGGGACACGTTAACAGCACCAGAAT